GGCTAACATTACCTCAAGAAAACTTCAATTCCCTTTCAGAAAAACTCAACGAATGGAAAACTGTCATTGTTTCTAAAGAAGCTTCCGGAATTCAACTGTCTATTGTAAGGCGATGTTTGTTTCATTTTGATTTAATCTGGACATAATATAATGAGAGTTAATTGTTTGAAACCAGGTATGTGAAATGGACCCGGGATTATTCCGGGATTGTGATGCGTTCTTGAGGAATCTTCAAGGGAGGTCTGAAATCCTGGCAGTTTCAGTGCATGGTGAAGGTGATATCAATACGGATGATTATGAAGGTCACGAGGAGGTATCCATATCATCAACATCAACATCAACTGAACCCAAGAAGCTGCCCGAACCTGTTGCCCAGCTGACCGAGAAAATGGAGAAGCAAAAGTTGGCGCCAAAAACTGAAATCACGGAAGGTGAGGTAAAGGTAAAGCAGAGCAAATGCAGTACATGTGATGCGATTGTGGGGGATACAAAACAGTATAGAGAACATTTCAAGAGTGATTGGCATAAACATAATTTGAAGAGGAAAACAAGACAGTTGCCTCCACTTTCAGCTGAAGAATGTGCTGTTGATGAGGAAATTAATGACTCGATGGGTGATCTGAAAGAATATTCGTTTTGAGGTTTGGGGTTTGTTTGTGTACTGTATGTCATGACAGTTGGAAGGAAGAGTATGTTTTTTTTTCTTTTTGTGATTAGTCAAGACTTTGTAGTAATATGAATTTTGGGAACTATTGGTCCAAAGATTAGTGACTGGAGTGTTTCAGTCACTGAAGGGCGTTGTTTGAAAATGAAAAGTTTTTGGAATCCAAGGTATTTTTGTGACTTGATTTTCTGTCGCATTGGGTGTTGGAAATTTTTAGTAGGGACTTGGTGTAGATTGTGATAACGTTTTTAGGGATTGAGATATAGGGAAATGATCCAACTTTTACTCATTTCCATACATCGTTCATTGAAGTACTTAACCCCATCCATCTTTCTCTTTAGACTTTAGTCCCTCCATTTCAGTCCTTCCTCAAAAACCCTTCAATTTTTCCAGTTATACATAGTACCTCAACTTTATTTCCTTTGCAACTCTAGTTATTACCTCTTTTAGTTTTCCAAATTCAGTCCTACAAAATAACTATCACTCATAATAATCCTTCTTTCACCTTGAATTACGGGTGTTCTTTTGGATGGGTTAATTCGATATGTCTAATTGGGAAATTCGGTTTATCCAAATAGCAACAGATTGAAAATAACATTGTATGGACAATTCTCTGAAAACCATAAATAGAAATCATATTGGTCTTTATAGCATATTTCATGTGAATTTCAATCTTCATTTAATATGTCATTAAAATCTTGATTTGATCTTTCAATAAACAAAAAAACATTATTTTCGTATAAACAAATTAAATAAACAAGTTCCATGCAACCAAATCAAAACTCTTTTACTTCAAATTCCTATGATTTATAATTATGTAAATATCGAAAAGATGGTTAGATGTCGATGCGGAGCCACAATCTCACCAAAGCATCTGGAACCTCATGTGTCCGATTTATATCTTTGAAAAGAATATTGAAGGTCTTAAGATATCGTCCACATAAAATTGAGAGCCTCAACCACCTTACGATCCTCTATAGCAATATCCACTCTTAAATATCTTCTATATACACGCAAGTCTTCTACTTTTCATAAAAAAACATATATTACCTCATCCACTAAATTATATCAAGACTTCCAATTTTTATAGAAAATAAATTCCCATTTGAACCATTGTTAGAAGCCTCAGAGCTGTATCTGAAGTACCACGCAAACACACAGCAGGAGAAGTGGAATGGCGATTATGGAGAAGTGTTTCCAAATGGGTACTCCCAGAGCCTGCGTTCTACAACACTCTCATCGTCGCTTTACTTCCATTGATAAACCCTCTTTCACCAACATCTTGAAGCCTCCGATGAAAGCTTCAGCTATAACATCTTCGTCTTCTGCTCATTCTTTCAACCTCAGATCCCGCATCATCTGCAAAGCTGCTGTAAATCAAGGTCTAGATCTCTCTTTGGAATTTCTATTTTGTTTGTGGGTATAAAATATCGGGAAATTAAATAGATATAATGTCTACTTTCGTATATTCCTTTTTTGTATTATCAAGCATTCACTCAAAACACCATTTGTGTTTTTGGATTTTGTAGTTCAAGTGGTGACAGACGGCACTTGGAATGAAATGGTGGAAGCAGCAGACATGCCGGTGTTGGTGGAGTTTTGGGCACCGTGGTGTGGGCCATGCCGGATGATTGCTCCGGTGGTGGATGAACTTGCAAAGGAATACGCAGGCAAAGCTTTGTGCTATAAGATAAACACCGACGACTGCCCAAACATAGCATCAAAATATGGAATCAGAAGCATCCCAACTGTGCTTTTCTTCAAGAATGGAGAGAAGAAAGAGAGTGTCATTGGTGCTGTCCCTAAATCCACTCTGTGTGCCACTTTAGACAAGTATGTTGAGTAATAACGCTTGCCTTCAAGGCTTCATAAGTGGCTTAAATTTTATGCAATTTCTGTTACATTTCACAAAAATATTGTGTACAAGAAATTGTAAAGATATTTTTCATGTTAATACAAGTGTATTTTCTATATCCTTCCTTTTAAATTGTTGGGGACTTTCTAAAGAAAAGATTAGTGATAATCAATAACTTGAATATAGAATTACTTTGCTTAAGTAATATTTCTAGTAACTACTCGCGGATACCAAAGGGCTTCTCAGATGTTGATCTCCATCGTTGAGGTCGAGGGTTCAAGTCTGGTATGAGATATAGGTGGATTTTATGAGTAATTTAGGATTAAATTAGATTTGTCGTTCCAAAAAAAACTACTCGGGGATAATCCAATTTAACACAATTTCAAGTTTAGGTTCTTCATAATTAAGTCACGGTTCTAATTATCATGCAATTCAACAAGATTTTAAATATGAAGAACCTCGATACTTACTTTGAAATCCAATCTTTACGAGTATTTTTGTAGATGGTGATGTTGTTGTCTTCTATTCTTGTTATATGATTCTTAATCTTGATGGAAAGATTATGATACAAAGTATCATTGTTCTAAGGGAGAATAGAGGATTTATATCGATGGTTTTAGTGTTAGCAGGAATTTAGTGTAATTGAATTAACACGAGTGTCAGATGAGTATTTGAACTATGATCTTATACAAGTTAGGAGGTGTAAAGTGTAAAGTGTAAAGTGCACATTTGTATATATAAGGCAAATTTAATTCCGAATACGAAGAAATATGAGGGATAGTTGAGTATATGTACTTATATTTCGCCATTTTGTGGACTCTCCTACAAACTCTAACAATCCTTACTCTCTCTAGAAATGCACTTAATGTTCTGTGCCTAAAACACAAAGTGTCCCCACAAATTATCCGCAATTGGATTTTCAAAAACTCAACATATATATGGAAGAAATATCAATATGAAAAATTAACTTAAACAATGCGTGAGAAATCCAGATCTTTATTACCAAACCCCTATTTGTCTCACACACACAAAACGTCTAACGAAAAAAAAAACTTCTACCATGACCCTAATAGTAATGATTAGTAACTAATATAAAATAAGTATAATCATAAAAGTGGCCATTGGAGATATCAAGTTTTTCTTTTATAACCAACTTTTGAGGCATTTTAAAATGACTATCATCTTCGTAATACTTCATTGCGGACTAAATGATTTTGTGTCAAAGTGTTAGAAGACCCTCTAAGATGAGACATACAAGTCTTTTGGCATAATTCATTTAAGTATCAATCAAATCGATACTTGAACAATTTTGGCATAATTTCTTAATATGTATCCTAATGACACAAACCCTACTTCCATTCATACAAGTCTTTTGTGTGCTTAAGTAGGTTCACTTTTATTAAAGTATATTTTGTTGGATTCAACACCCAACAAATTGGCATCGTTTTCGAGTATATGTATACCTCTAAATTTATATATTTAACTTGAAAATACCTCTTAAGGAACACTCGAAACTTTGAAAGAGCATTTAGCTTCCAATGACCACACTAAAAGAGGTAACATCCCGCTAATGACATTAAACTTAGCAATATAAGGGTCACAAGCTTTATAAATTTTGTGGTTGTGTTATATGCCCTCATAAGATTTCACTTACCCTCTCAGGACCTAATAATCTGTTTTGCTTGTGTGTTTATGCATGTTTTAGTATTTTTTTTTTTTTATGATTTCAAGCCTAGAGATGAGTACTTTCATGGAAATTAAAAGGTGAGATCCAAGATCACTTGAGAAATGTCAAGCGGAATCAAAGACAAAGTTGCTCAAATTCTAGAGAAAAAAAAACATTGGATGTGGCCATGTCAAACTGAGGACATAGTCATATTGTATAGATGACATGACCATAAGTGTAGATAATATGAAATATTATAACCTCATCTTCACACTCAACAATGTCTTGTTCATGTGGCTTATTTTGGTGATTATATGAAATTATCATAACCAAAAGTGTAGATAATACTTGTGTTAGTATTTTCTATAATTTCAAGTTGGGTTCATGAGTTCAACTCTTAGGTTTCTACTTTCTAGTGCAAGGTTATTCATATGATTTCAAGTTTCATTGTTTCTTTGTAGGGTTCATCTGTACTCATGTTGATAAATTTCATTGTGTGGGTTCATATTTGATTTGGATCATCAAAGAAGGCAACAGTATTTTTTAGTGTAAATGCTTTTTAATTAACATGATTTAGAGTAGACAAGATGTCTAGTATGTTAATGTATTAATGAGTTTTGAATCGACAATACGTCATCAATTTTTAGTGTATATGTTGTCGACTGGAATTCATAAAGTTTGTATGGACAAAACCCAACAAAGTAATGTCACGAATCACGAATCACAAATGGTTGATTCAAGAAGGAACGAGATTTGCTAAAAGATGTTATTGCGATGCATAAATACGTATTTAACCATTAAAAAACGTTGGATATTTTCATATTTTGTTAAAGGAATAAAACGCCAAAATAACAAAAATGATAATAAATAATTAATGGCAAATCATATATGAAAGGGGAACCACAAAAAGCTCCAGAATACGATAACAGAACGGTGATGGCAGCGGAGAAGTGTTTCCAGATGGTTGCGCTTGCGCCTAGAGCCACCGTGTCCATTCAACGACACACCCATCGTCGTTTCATTTCCATGGATAACCCCTATGGCTGTTTCACCCACATATTGAAACCTCCGATGAAAGCTTCGATTATAACGTCTTCATCTTCTGCCCCCACTTTCAACCGCAGATCCCGTTCACCCGTCGTCTGCAAATCTGCTGTAAATCAAGGTCCAATTTTCTATCTTTGGATTTTGGATTTGAAGTTTGTACCAACGAGAAGCATGGGGGAATTAAGTGATTTGTGTGTGTTTATGGATTTGTAGTTGAAGTAGTAACAGGGTGCACGTGGACTGAATTGGTGGTAGCAGCTGATATGGCAGTGATGGTGGAGTTCTGGGCACCAGAGCGTGAGATGATATCGCCGGTGGTTGATGAAGTGGCAAGAGAATACGCCGGCAAGGCTTTGTGTTACAGGATCAACACCGACGACTACCCAAACGTAGCAACACAATATGGAATTAAAACCATCCCAACTCTCCTCTTCTTCAAGAATGGAGAGGAACAAGAAACTCTTATTGGGGTTGTCCCTAAATCCACCATTTCTGCCACTTTACACAGCTATACCCAATAGAATGCTCGCCTACTATTCCCTATTGCCTTCAAACAATGCTTTCACGTTTATCCATTCATCCCTTCTGTACGTTAGGTGAAAATATCTTGTGTAATGTGTAGTAGTTGTGTATAATTGTACATTGATACATATTTAATAGGCTATTTCTTTATACATCTATCCCACACACCAATCTAACCTATCACCAATCTAACCTATTTTGACTTTTATCTGATTTTTTTTGACAGCTTTTTCTTATTTCAAGGATTTGTATCTAATGGGCAAGTATTATATAGAAAGCATTCAATTCAGATTTATTCACCTTTTTATTGTATATTCCCAATATTTATGTTTTGAAGACTGTGTTTTATTTCTAAAAAAACTAAATTATCAGAATAAGAACAAACTACAAAATATAGTTATATTGAACAATGAACATCATTAATCCATTTAAATTTCCAATAAACCACGACATTTTATATAAACAGAAAATGAATCATTTAAACAGTATATTAACAATATTCAAAAAAAAAAAAAAAAAAAAAAAACTGTTCACCATCGGAATCAGCTTCAACCAAAGAACTGCCGCCGGCAACAACTAACCGGCGGTAACCAAATAACGCCGGAGACAAAACGAGAGAAAGAGAGATTGTGAGAAAAGACCACCGGAACCACCATTTACCATCGTGAACCACCTAGACCAGATTGAGAAAAGCGAGAGAATCATCATTTACGTCGGAGAAAAAACAATAGATCGCCGGAAAGAAAGAACGAGAAAAATAGCACCGTGAGAAAGTCCGCCGTCGAAGCATCAAACCAGTGGCTAGTGGCTATGAATGTTGCACCGTGAAACCGACCATCGTCGCCAGAAATTTTGTCGTCGCCGGAAATAGCTTCATCGCTGCAAATCGCATCGGACATCTCTGGCTCTCAGTTTTGGCGGCTGAAACATTTTTGCTAGGGCTCGATCAAAGTAAGCCTTTATATCTTATCATTTTATATAAACAGCCCCCCAAAATTTGAATATATTTCATTTTAGACACCTTAAATTTAAACATTTTTATACTTTCTGCATTATTTTATTTACTTTCAAAAAGTATCTATAAAAGGAATTTCAACGAAACATTAAATATAGTATTAATATTATAATGGTGAATAAATTAACCATAAATTTAAATTTTGAAATCGAAAATTAATGGACGTCGAATTTTGAATTTGATGATTCCATATTCACTAAATTTTTAAAACTAAATTCTAGTTTGAAAATAAAAAGTTGAATTATTTTTTTATTTACATACCATACAAATCAATTTGTTAACATGAATTTTATGGTTAAAAAAACCACCATGGACCACCTTACATGCAAATTAGTTTATATGACAATCATTTTCTCAAATATGGTAGCATAATTAGTTTATATGGCATGTATTTACGATATCATTTTTTAATTATTTTTTTTAATTGGTTTTTAATTAATTTTTTTTAATCGGTTTTTTATTAAATTTTTTTTTGTTTTATTTCAGTTTTGCAGGAAAAAATGGCTACTATTTTCGGATTTTTCTACCGATGAAGTATAATTTCTAATCTTATATTTATATGTGTATATTTATTTGATATATTTATCGATTTTTTAACATTAAATTTTTCTCTTAATTTTTAGGTTTTTAGATCTCTTGAAGATTTGAAGAATTAGGTACAAAATATTGCACGTTCTCAAGGTTATGTTACAGTCACTAAACGATCGAAGGCAGCGACTTTTGGATTCAAATCTAAAGTATTTCTTTGTTGTGATCGTAGTGGTATATCCAGAAGTAAAAATGTGAAAACAAAAAAAATTAATTGTTCATTCGAATTGATAGCAAAGTATTTGAAGGCACAAGATGGTTGGAAGTTACAAGTCGTACGTGATGATCACAATCACGAACCATCAATGTATATGGAGGGTCATTCATTTGCAATGCGATTGTCGGATAAAGAGACTCGTTTGGTCCATGATTTGACAGAGCTGAATGTTAAACCACTAGATATTTTGTCAACAATAAAGCAGCAAAATGAAAATAACGTGTCTTCACTGAAAACTATATACAATTGTCGCCATAAGTTTACAATATCTCAACGAGAGGGTAGAAGCCCGATACAAAATGTCATGCACATTTTGCATACTAAAGGGTATAATTATGAGTATCGTTTAAACGAGAGCACTAACGAGTTAGAGGAGTTGTTTTTTATGCACCCAATATCGTTACAGATGTGGCAAGCATTTCCGTATGTGGTGTTGATGGATGCTACATACAAAACAAACAAGTATAATCTTCCTTTTCTGGAGATTGTTGGTGTCACTTCTACGAGACTGACGTTTTCCATAGCCTTCGCATTCATGAATAGCGAAAAAACAAGCAACTACAGGTGGGTATTGACTTGTTTGAAATTGACGATTAACGATTCTTTTTGTCCTCGTGTCATCGTCACCGATAGAGATTTGGCGTTGATGAAGGCGTGCGAAGATGTTTTTCCACAAAGTAATCATTTACTTTGTAGGTGGCATATATTCAACGATATAACAAAGCATTGTAGGAAACGTATCAAATCAGATAAGACTTGGGGTTCTCTTCATCCAATGTGGAAGAAATTAGTCGAATCTCCGACACCGAGTGCATATATGCAAGCGTATGCAGACCTTCAATCGTTATTGTCCAGAGATCCAGGTATCATTAATATATATCCTAAACTCTTAATTTCTTTAATAATTATTATTCATTCAATCATACTAATTTGATTTTTCTTCATATTTTAGTTGTTTTTTAGTATCTTTACAATACTTGGTTGGAGAAGTATCCCGACAAATTTGTATCATTGTGGACCGATAAAAGTACCAATTTTGGAAATTCAACAACAAATAGAGTTGAGAGTCAGCACGCTAAGCTAAAAAAACACCTAGCATCTCGAAAACGTGATTTGGATAAATTCATATATGTTATTGAAACAGTTGTACAGTCGCAAGACACAGCTATCAAAGAGAGTTTCACAAGGAGCATAATCATTCATAAACCAAAATTTAAGGATGAGATATTCAATTCACTACGACATCATGTTTCAGAGCATGCTTTGGATAAAATCTTAGAAGAGCTTCATCGGTTAAAAGGATTTGCACCAACTCCTGAGAATTGTGGCTGTCAACTACGAACATGTTTTGGTTTACCATGCGCTCACGAACTTGCGATGTATGTTGATGCAGGTATGTCAAATGTATTGTATTAAATTGACAAGTTTTATATGTATAATCACTTTATAACATTTTGACTTTTTTACTATAGGTTCACCTATTCCGTTGGATTCAATTGATATTTTTTGGAGAACGCTTGATTTTAAGCCTTGTGTATTTGTGGATTATGGAAATCTTAATGTTGATGATCATATGCAAAGATGGAAGGAAAAATTCAACAATCAACCAGATCATGTCAAATACAGTTATATAAGAAAGATGGATGAGATAATCGATCCTTCAAAAATTATGATCAATGAACCTTCGGTTAAGAAAAATAACCGTGGACGCCCAAAAGTGAAGCGTGGTCACCATCAAAGTCAAGCTCCTCACCGATACAGTTGTTCAGACTTGAATCAGGAACCACCTAGGCATAGTTCATCATTCTTCGACTTGAACGATGAACCGACTAGGCATAGTTCATCATTCTTCGACTTGAACGATGAACCGACTAGGCATAATTCATCATTCTTTGACTTGAACGATGAACCGACTAGGCATAATTCATCATTCTTTGACTTGAACAATGAACCAGCTAGGCATAGTTCATACTTCATGGGCATGAACGAGGAACCAATAGACAAATGTTCGTACCAGTTTGACTTGAATGAGGAACCAACATGCCAATGGTCGTACCGGTTTGACTTGAAAGAGAAAGCAACGAAGGAACATAATTCATTATTGAAGGAAATTCCATCAATATTTCATCCATACATCATGCGTATACAAAATGTAAAGGGTGATGGAAATTGTGGTTTTCGATCGGTAACTGTTTGTCTCGGGTATGATGAAAATGAGTGGCTTTTCATTCGCCAGCAATTGTATGATGAGTTATTGACGTCATATGAAGACTATTCTACAGTTTTCATTGGATGCAATGGAGTACTTGATTCATTGTCTTTCTTCATGACAGATAGGACAGCACCACCAGAACACTATATGCTTATGCCTGAGACAGGTATCCTGATAGCCAACAGGTTTGGTGTGATTGTCCAATTTTTGACCACAGTGGGCCCTGTAACCTTTTTCCCTCTATGGAGAGGCCCTAGTGAGTTTCAAAATCATCGTGTCCTTACATTTGCACTTGTATACATCAATCACTATGTGATGGTACAGTTAGAAGGAGAGTATCCGATGCCTCCTATTTCAGCATTATGGATCCGCCACAAAGACCCGTCCGCAGCCGAATGGCAAACTATGTATAAGTCGCGTCTAGAATTTTATAAGCGACTCAGACCTACGGAAAGATCTTTTATGACTATAGATGATTAATTGTTGTTTATTTTTGTCTCAGATTTTTGTTATGTAATATTTAAAATTAAAAAAAAATGATGAAGATTTGTTCGGATTTTATTTCTTATAATATTATTTATAATATCAATGATATTAGGTTGACGAAAAATTATTTATAATTTATTTTTTTATAATATTATATATGTTATTATATTATAAAAACTATATTTTTTTATCTTAATAAAAAATAAATATAAAATTATTAATATTAATTAAGTTAGTAAAAAATGTAGTTATTAAATAATAATGATTTATAGATTATGTAATAATGAACTAATAATAAAAGTTGGTCAAATAATAATTATATTGTGATGATGATTTAAAAAGTAAAGTCAATAATAATTATATGACGATAATTATCCTCATTCACCTAAAAAGCAAACCTAATATATAGGTTGATGTTGTGTAGAGTGGTGTGTCCAAAGTAGGACCCTATTTAATATTTTTATCCCAACTTTTGTTGAAAAAAATATGATTTCTCTCCTTACACCGACACACAGACCAGTTATTCAAAATTTTTATTAAAACTATTTTTGTTTAAAAAGTAAACAAACAATTTATTTATTTTTAAAACTTATTTTTTTTATTATATATAAGAATAATAACCAACATTTTAATTTTTAATATGTA